ATAATGCAAAAGGAATGTTGTTGAGTCTCTTGTTTTGGGTCATTTGAATTAGATATCGTACTTAGCCGACAGCCGAACTCACTAAAAAGTCATCTTTACCATGGTTTTTTACCGTTTCTTTGGCTTTTTGATCCATTTTTATCTTTAACCCATCTTTGAGCTAAACACCCTTTAGTTACTTAGCTAGTGACTACTAGGTACTTGCACTGGTTACCCAACTGCGAAAGTCACTAAGATAAGTTAGTGGCTCGCTATTTATCTAATACACACTTATGCCATCGGCTGTTCTTCATTGAAATCTCTCATTATTCTTTCGCAGTCTTTTTTGAATAATTCATCTTTAGTAGCTTTGTTCATTGTCGTCGGATAAATTTTTTCTGTCGATAATTTTGTTGATGGTTTGCCATGGATAAGTTGAGTTTTTAAGCAGTTGTTGTTTTTCAAACTCTTCCTTGTTTCTTATTGCGTTGCGATAGTTAATATATGCAAAGTCATAAAGTTTCCTGCAAGCCTTTCTTCGTTTCTTCATCTGCTTTCTTTATCCTCTTGATGAGCTTGATAATCGTCTTCTTTTGCGAGTTCAGTTTATTATTCCACCAAGATTTATACCCTTTCTCATCGATTTATCAATGATCTTTTTAAGTCTTCCATTATTCTCTGACAGTAACTGTCCATTTGAATATTGTGGTTAATTGTTGAGATCGGTCGGGGATTCCATTTGTTCAATGAAAAGATTAATGTTTTGTTTGAAATATAAGTTTTTTGTCTTCTGTTGAGTTTGGTTCTTAGTTCAATTTTCTGAGCCAAATGATCGCTTCCAAGCCATTCCTCCATTCCAATATACTTTACATTGTTTTGAGCTTTTCTGTTCACCGCAATTAGATCTAACCAAGTGTTAGCTCCATAACATGGCTGTAGTTATTTGGTGTGGGGGTTTTTGGTAAAAGTAAAGCAATTTTCTATGAGAAAATTTGCCATTAGCATTCCCTTTTCTCTCTGTCTCATGTCTTTTGCTTCTTCAAAGGACCAGGCTTGATTTGTCGCATTTACATAACCTCCAAAGATCATCATCTTCTCCTTGTGTCTATTGAATAGACTTTGTAATTTCTTTAATCTCTTTTGTTATTCATTTTTGAGTAGATTCGGACTGAGGTTCATCGATATTAATACCAATGGTAGACCACAAATTGCTGCACACAATGTTTCCAGTCCCATCGTCGTTAGTTGTAGCGATTTGCAGTTTTTTACAATTGCTGACCTTCCATTTTCAAATACATGAAAGTTTTGCATTCGTGTTGTGTTGAGAGAGTATTGATTTTGTTCGTTGATCAAGAAAATACATGATTCCTTGTTGTTGAATTAACTTGTCCAAAATATTTTCCGTTGCTACTTTTGATTTAGCTAAATTTACCCTGTATATTATCATATTTAATATAATTGTTTGTAGGTGTAATCGTTGAATTCATAGCTTTTTCGGTTTCGGTTTGGACAAATGGACATAATCTACTTTGACAGAAATGATTGTGTTGAAGTGATGCATTTTTACAGTTGATACAGATTGGTTCTTTTATCTTTGAATAGACTTGATCTTGATGATGATCTTCCCCACAGTATTTACATCTCGGTTTAGATCTTGTACATTCATGTCTTCGGTGTGTTCCTGTTTCCATACAATTTCCACATTGATTGATGTTAAATGTGTCTTGAATATCTAGCATGTAGCAACCAAGTTTGACCTTTCCACCTATTGCTTCAATATTGTCTCTCGCTCTCGCATTAATTGTAAGAATCAGATTTTTCAATGGCTTCTTAGCATCTCTTGATTTTGATCGGAAACTCTTTAATACCTTTAAATCTCAATGGAAGTTGGTGGCTCGCTAGTTATCTAATACTCACAAGCTATCTGATCTGGATTCAAAGCAAAGTTGAAGCAAAATCAATTTACAAGCGCAGATTGGCTAGTTTCTTGAAAATTGAGTGAATTTGTGAACAATTTCATCATTCATTTTGTTAAAATGCTTGTATTGGCAAAACAAAATTTTCAATCAAAACATTTCTCAGAGTGAAAACTACTAATCAATATTGGAATCTGGCAAGTCACTAAATAGATTACATTTATCATAAATTGGGACAAAAATTGTTTGCTAACTCGATTGTTGGACTAAACATTGTTGTATTGAAAATTCTTTGCCATTCATTTTTTTATTCTCAAACCATTCAAAATTGAATGTTGAATCAAAATGAAATTGTTGAACGCGTGTTGAAAATGTTGATTATCCAATGAGTTATTCACATTGCTGTATATAAGCATTATTTCATTTTTTCAATACACTTTTCCATCTCTTTATCGGCAACTATCTTTAAATTAAATCGCTGTAAATCCTCCTCTCCGTGTTTTTATTAACTCAATTTTTCATGTTTACTCGGGCAAACATCAATTCAATCAATTTCAACTCGATTGTTCAGTATATCAGTTTCTGGATATCAAGAAAAAGAAGAAAAAAAATAACTGTTATCCTAAAATGAACACCAAAGTTTCGCTGAAAAATGGTGTCAGTCGCTTACACTTTTGTCCCTTGAGAAGATGAAATGTTGAGCCTTTTCAAGTGTTTCACTTTGGGATCCTCTTTACCAACATTGCAATTTAAATTTACAGATTTAATTGCAAGATATAAAAGCAATTTTAATCCATCATGCAATGGTGAGTTTTAAATTCACCAAGATTGACCATCAAAAATGGATGATAAAAAAAATGTTTTCATTTCTCTTTCAACTCCAATTGTTCAAGTTAATCAAGCAAATGCAGCAATACCGGCATTTCATGTCGACTGATCGAATTGGATAAAAATTAAATTTAAGGTTAGCTCTTTGCTTTTACCAGCTTAATCTTTAAGCTAACTCAATGTGTAAAGAATGAAGATGAAAAGGACAAAATAACCAGAGGCAAAATGATACTGACACATGAAGTTCACAAATAGTTGAATCCATAAAATTGCTTGACAATATGAGGAGAAATGGTAAATTGGTGAAAAAATTGCTCAAAATGGATGATCCTTTAATGGAACCTCGAACATTGCCATTCAAATGAACCTTTAAAAATGTTCAATTTTTTATTCCTTGTCTGGTCATTCTGTTGGATACTTTCACGTCCACCTTTTATGCTTTCAAACCATACAAAATGTTGACTTTCATTTGGGTTTCATTTGGGTGTTTCAATCAACTCCAGGAATGAGTAAAGTTGGTCTTGAAAATGTCCATTTATCATCATTACAAGCTTAATAAATGTTGTCTCCATTATATCATTAACTGTGCTTGACCATGAAATAATTACTGTCCTTTCTTTTCCTCCTCAAATGAAAACTTGTCCAATTAAAGGGTCGCAATATCATCATTAACCTGGCCTTTCTTGGTGCAAAATCTTTGCATCATTTCCGATCATTTTTCATGTTCACCTTTTCTAATCGTCTGTTGATTTACAATATTTTTTCCTTTCCGGTTTCATTCCATTGATGGGTCACTTTCTTGTGGACATCACCAGCTTTCATCGCCTAATAATGATAAAATAAGGATAATTTAATCATTTGTTATCTTCACACATCTTTCTCGCATTTAGCATTATTTGATTTATTTCAACCATTTTAATTTATGGTCACTTATTTTGATTGAGAAAAGATAAATTGTTGGTTAACCTTTCACCATCAGTTGACCACTTGTGGCTCATTAACTAGTACAATCCTAGAAAACAGTTTAATTGAATTCAGTTAAGGGAAAAATTGTTCATTCATTTAATCATCATTTTTCATTTTCCGCTTTCAGTTGCATATTTAAACAATAAACAACCTTTCATTAGCAAAATTGTTCAATTACAAGGATTGACCTGAATTATTCAAAATGGCCTATTAAGTGAACCAAAGTGTCCATTAAAAAATTTCTGTTCATCAGCTATAAATAGCTTCTTGTGATGGACAAAAAGTCACAGCTAAATGAGTTAATTGGTTACAAATGGTCAATATTTTTAACCAATTACTATTCAATCACAAGTGTTTATTGAATTCTTAATTCAAAATTCTTTGTGTAACCATACCTTCATGAGTTTCACCATGTTCGCAATTCCTGTGCTTTTCACTGGACAAATACAGTTTTGATGTTTGGTTTGAATGGATAAAACACTAGCGCTCATTAAGATAACGCATTCAAATATTGATTGAAAAAGTTAATCAAAATGAATCAAGTTATAATATTATGCTAGGAACATACGAAAATTTTGTCAACTCAGGATAGGAATTAATTTGAAAAAATCTTGATGAAACCCGAATTAGCAAAATTTAGAACCAGATTGTGTACATGCCTATGGTACACTAGAAACATAGTTAAAATTCAGTTAATTGTCAACCATTCAAGAAATTAAACTTTTTTCGACAGATTTTCGATACTAATTGTCGTAATTTCAAATCGATATGATTCAAAATAAGGGCTGTATACATGGTTTTATGAACTCATATAATTAAGTTAGAAATATGAAATTAAAAGTGTTCAAAGCTATCAATGAAGAACTAAATAGCTCCAAACATTAATTTTAGTCATTTGCTCAATTTATCAAAAAATCAAAGGTTTAGAAAGATTATTTATTGATTTATTAACGATTAAAATTATTTTCAATTTTATTCCTCAAACTATATTGTAATTTAATCGCCTTCGTGGCCTAATGGATAAGGCATCGGTCTCCTAAACCGGGGATTGCGGGTTCGAGTCCCGCCGAAGGTAAATTTTTGGTATTTATTTGGATTATCTTTTTCAATGCACTAATCACATGTTTCATGGTAAAATTTGGTTTCAAGGTTTCTTTTAATTCTTGTGTTTTGATCTGTTTGGGTTAACATTATAAATTATTGGCTATTTTTGTTGGTGTTCAACTGTTAAATTAGTTATTGATTGAGCTAATTTTTGATTTGATTTGTATCATGATAACTAATAATGTTTACTCACATCTTTTTTTGCAGACCAATTTACTTAATGGCTCAGAATGTGGTGATATTAAGTCGGATGAAACGGTCTATAAGAAAGTAGCTGTGGTGGAAAATTTTTACAAAATAATTTATAATGTTCATGTTGAAATGGACGGTAGGTCGGGTAAACATGCTGGACAGAAGCGGACTTATCGAGCGGTAAGTAATATTATTTATGATAATAATTTGGAAAGAAAAGATTCATTTAGAAAAATTCATTTTCTTTCAATTTGATAAAACAATAATCATTATGGTGAATGAACAATTGCAAATGATGGATATGATTGAAATGTAGACAAAAGTGGGGAGAAAGGTGAAATGGAATGTAAAATGGACTGTTCGAAGGGAAAAAGGATTTTGTTTGGTGAAAGGATTCTTGAGATGGTAAAGTAAAGACCAAATCCAGGTTACAGTTAGTTGTGTGTTACTTGGGACATAAAAATAGAGGCAAATAGGAATCATGATAATGATGATGAGGAAGATAGAAGAGCGTAAAAGGAAGAAAGTGAAAGAATGACATTTACAGGATTGATAATGAAAGACTAGGGATTGAGAGTGAGAAGGGAAAGGAAGAAGATGGGAAAATGAAGGGAAAAATATCATCAAACGGAGCTGTCCTAAAAGGAAAGTAAAGCTCCCGGTGAGACCAATAACACAGGTCAGTAGAAAGGAAAATAGGAAGAAATGATTGAAATAGTGATGGAAAGGAAGAAAATTATGATGATGATGATGAGAGAGGAGGAAGACTTGGAAATTGAGTTTAAGGTGGTTTTACTGTTCCTAACAATCTCCTGGAGATGAAAGAGATGAGGCATTACCAAGTGGAGCCATGTTGGTTGGTTGCTGCTGTTACATGGTCAATAAGGGGAAAGTAGAGGATGATGATGATGATGATGATGATGGGAATGAAGGAAAGTGGAATCATAAAAGTAGTGAGTAAAATTTGAGCATCAATATCAGTAGGAACTTGAAAAGCTTCAAGTAGGCAAAAATAATAACAATACTTTCACCAGGTTTGCACCAGTTTTGTGTTTCAGTTTTGAACAAAAAAAACAGTTTGACTGTAGCTTTACATTAAATTAACATTGAATATGGTAAAAAGAGTGATGCTTCAAAGTTTCTCCAGATTAGTTGAAAATGCAACAAGACCAACATAAAAGGAATCTTGATGATGATAATAATGATCATCATAGCAATAATCATTATGATTATCATGACATTATGAAGAGGGACATGAAAGTTTAAATTATTTATTCCTAGGCAAAAATGATATCGCAAAAGCCTTTGGACCATCCAGGGTTATTGATAATTTATAATCCATCTTCAGTTGAGCTGTTACAATATGTTGAAAAAGATGAACAAGATCAAGATAGATCAAGGAAGGAGAGAGAGAGATGAGGAAGAGAAGGAGGAGGAAAGATGATGAAGGAATGACGATGAAGCTGTTGCAATGTTATTCTAGTTATAGGATGTTCAAGTTATAACCTTGATCGGGATGCCAAAACAGGAGTGGGATTTATTACTCCAAGAGCATAAAAATTGCCTCCAAGAGAGTTGAATGAGTGGAAGAAGCGAGAAGGAAAAAAGGATAAAATAAATAAACTTTGATGATATTATTTTCCTTTTTTTAGCGTTCTTTATATATCACCATCTTTTCGCCTTATCCTCATCTTTACCATCCTTGTCCTCGTCATCATCTTCATCTAATATTTTGTCTTCTCTCTTTTTTTTCTCCTTCTTTCTTGGTTCTTTTTCCCTCCTCCTCCTCCTTGGCAAAGGTTGCTGAAATGTATGCGTTCCTACCACGTGAAGCTGTGACCCGATTCCTTATGTCTTGTTCAGATTGTCAAAAGCGTATGCACCTTCAGGGTCTTAACACATCAACTAATGGTAATCATCATTTATCAACATCACCATTATCATCTAACTCATATCAAAAGAAAAGGTAAATATAAATGATAAATAAATAAATAATATACATAATATTGGATGGATTGTATGAAATGTGGATAATTATATCATCATAATAACAACAATATTCATATTAGCAATATAAAGCATTCCATCAAGAAAAACATTCTTACCATAATTAATATTATCATTGATTGTATGCTTTGACAAGTTTAACCTTAATCAGGTAATAATTGAAACGTTTCCCAATGTTAATCTGTAAAGAGGACAGAAATCAAGATTTAGCACAATTTCAACAGTTTTGTCATTTAATTTGTTGACTTTCACTTTTGTCATCATTAAATGAAATAACAATGAATGAGTTTACATTCAGGTTTCAATTTTATTTTCAAATGAACCGACTTAAGAAGTCAACTTTTCATGATTGTCAATATCATCAAGAAACTTCCGATATTTATAGTTATCAATTCAACATGATAACAATGGAAAGTTTCAAAATTTTGTCTTTTTTTTGCAAAGATTTGCTTTTTTTGTTCTGGGAGTCAAAATGAAAAAAAACAAGCAAAGCAAATCTTTAGTCTTTCATATTTTTTCAGATAAAACAAACTAGCAAAAGGGAAACTTACTTTATTTATCTTGATATACTCTTTTAATGTGATGTTACAATCAACTTGTGATTGTATAATGTTATGTTAATTTATTATTATCATTATTACGCATTATCATCAGCTTATTCTTGGTTTTCTCTCTTATTTATATCATATTATTTAGCTCTTCTCGGCGATCAAATAATTCAATAACAAGTCTTAAGCCAATAAGGAAATCAAATGGAACCAGTAATGATCGTAATCAAAATGATATGGATTTTAGTTTACCAATAACAGCAACCTATCTGAAAAGGATGAAATCTCTTGGTTACAACAATGAGACAACAAATAATCATATTGAACACAGCATATTACCTTATACTATAATTTGCGATCAATCAAGCTATGGACAGCAAACAAATCAACAGTCAACTGTATTAAGTGCCATCCAAAATGATCAAATTAACGGAGATGAGGTAAACCTAAAAAAAGCAAACTCAATTAATTTCATTTTTCAAAGGGTCAACATTTCATATTAACGATTTTCAGTAAAATTTCACCAAATAAGAAACAATATAAGTGAATACAAATTATATTCACATTGAGCCATTATAATGCAATTGGTAAAAATAATGGATTAATTTTAAATTTTCACAATTTAGCAATGATTGGTAAGCTTGAAATAAAAGCTGTTTTTTGAAAAAGCAAGGGATAAAAAGCTGAATCTTTTTGCCTGCTATTACATTTAGATGTAATGAGATCACGCAAAAATGTTCAACAATTGGTGATGCGTTAGGGAATCAACACACACACTTTGCTTTTTGTTGTGTGTGTGCTTCAATCCTAGCACTTTAGGATCTTATACTTTTTTGTTTTAATTGGTAAGATGAAAGGTTAAAGGATGTTGCTTGGTAAGGTTGGTATGTATAGTGGTCATTGAATTGGTAATGCATTTTTATTGTTATTTTTTCAATCAACAGTTTTGTTAGTTTGTTAACTAATTCAACCTGATAAGGAATAACAGTAATAACGGAAAGGGCAACAGTTTTAGGATGAAGGAGAGGATTGAGTTGGAAAGATGAAGCGCAGCAACAGTTCAGTAATACTGTTTAAGAAGCATAATGATTGCGAGAATGATGATGATGATGATGATAGAGACAAAGTTTTACTGATTAGTAACCTGGTTGACCAGAGGCCAAAAGCTGAAGCTGAAGTTTGGATCATCAAAGCTTACCAAACCAGTCATTTTTTTGCAGTTTTATGTTACAAAAGGCAATCTAGTGTTGGATAAACTCTCTTACCTAAAGGGTATTAGGTATTAGGTGGCTCATGCCTGACACAACTACAATTTTCAATATCAATGGTATTCCTCCTTTTTCCTCCTTTTCTTGTCTTCCCTTTCTTCTCCTTCTCATCTTTTTTTCCTACTCCATGAGAGAATGGCTTTTCTCATCTTTTACCATCTTATAAAATACATCTGATATTGGGTAATTTGTTCTGCCTTATATCTTCCAAGCCATCATCATCAGGGTTCAGTAGTAGGCAGAGTGAAAGAGATTAACCTGACGGCTTCCAAATCGCCTTCATGTCTTTCGTCCTTTTCCTTTTTTGTCTGCTTGCCTTTTCCTTCACAACATATTTACCAGTCTTTTTTGGTTCTCTTGAGACAAATTGTTACTGTCTTTTAAATATTCCGATGTTTTCCATCCTTTTTGCTTCATTCCTACTCATTTGTGTTTTTTCACTCCTTTAATTCAACTCCATTGAAAAAAGTTTACATGGATGCACAAATTGATTGATGTACTCTTCGTCTTTGCTTTCCTTACCATCTTCCTATTTAATATTATCTTTGCCTTACTTTTGCCACTTCTACTTTTCCTGGGCTAATCTTTCGATATTGGGCGCCAAGTTTATTAATTTCGTCTCCCTTGCACTTTATTGAAACATTTTCAACATCAATTAGGTCACCAATGGTCAGATAACAGCTTATGATCAGATAAATGTGTCTTTTGTCTCGGTCAGTTCGAGTTGGGTCTTTATTGTATTTTTCATCTTTCCCTCTCTTTCACTTTCAATGTTCTTGGTCATGAAACATATGCACGATAGGGAAATATTTTTACTGCTGGTATGCTTCATTGATGACAAGGTTCCCGATGAGCTTCATGGGGCGAATGTTATTTACGTTGGCAATATTATTTTGCAAGGTTCCTCAATTTTTCCTTAATGTTAATCCAATGTTGCTCCAAGAAGGAAGGATTTACTCCATTTATTTTCCTTTGCCCTTTGCATTACATTCCCTATGAGATCTCTTTTTACTTTTATCTGCAGGCCATTTTCATGGTTCGAGGAACGGAAAAATCAATATCATCAACACTTGAATTTGAAGGACTGAGGTAGATCGACATAAATAACTGCAGTGAAAGAAGGAAGAGAATGAGAAAAAATTGGATTGTTAAAAGGGAAAGAAATTTTTTTGATTGTGGTGGTGGTTGACATTCACAGTGAGATCAAATACAAATATAGCCTCCAAGCTCATGTAATACTGTTGATTTGATGTCTTTGATTGTGAAGCTCATGGGCATCCATTTAATCAGACAACACTTATTGTCAAAATGACAATTACTCAATGTTTTTTCCTTGCTTGTTTCGTCTTATTTATTTTCTTATTCTTCCAGCTAAACCAAAGTGTCAACCCAAGTAAAACGATCTACGAGTCTTTTTTGTCTCAAGAAATTATCTCTGTACATCATTTTTTCCCCATCCATGGATAAATGCAGTTGTTTGATAAATTTGCCTGATTGACGTTGACATCATTTTTTGCCTTTTGATTCATTGGAACCTTTAGTTCCTAATTTGTTGATGGCTTTTATGAATTGCAAATAAGTAGTAGTTAATGGTCATTTGATGATTTCAATCCACAAGAAATGATTCCAAAAACTGGTATCATTGTAATTAGCTAAATAGCGAGAGAAGAAAACGAGAAAAAGAAAATTAAAGATAAAATTGATCCAAATGGAAGGAACAGTTAAGGTCAATGAAGTAAGATCAAGTCATCTAATCACTTTTTGCTTTACCTCAACATAAAAACCATTGGATCTAATGGTTAATCCGATGAACCAAGCAAAGACAATAAAAAGAAAGCCAATCTTATTTCAACTTCAATTGCTTTATTTTTGCTCCCCTCCAAATTTCAACAATCTTTTGCCAACTGTAACATCTTCCTCTTCTTCTTCCAACTATTGAAACTTTCACCATGATCCAGGGTAACTGGTTCAGAATCATTGGACTTCTAAATGACCTATACGGTGAAAAGACGAGGGAAAAGTTTAAATGAGTTTAAAGAAGCAAAGTAAGGAAAAGGAAAAGGTAAATGAAGACTTTTAGAGAAAAAAATGAACTAGAAAATAAATAAGACCGGATTTTTGGTGCATTGGCTTTGGGATTGAATTTATCTTTTCTCATCTCTCCTGTGTTGACTGAGTTTATCCTTATGCCTCTTACCACCACTAATAGCCATTTTTTTCAACTTGGGTTGAATTTAGAATGATGATTGAGATGAAGACAGTTGCATTGAATAGAGAAGTAGATTTTTTAACTTCCCATTGTTCTTGATTTCAAAATTAATTGTAAGTTTGATCAACAGAAACAAAGTTTGTTTGTGAGGTGAGAATAGAGTGAAAAATGTCGACAAAGTTATCTTCATCTTTCCCAACAAAAAGGAAAGAAAAGCAGAAAATGATGAGAGAATAGAAGACAATGGTTCCATGTCCTTTCTCCTTCCTATTTATTCTTATTCACCTCTTTTTTTTATAAATATTCACATTCAGTCTATCCTGAACTGACAGCTTTTGATCAGAACATTGCTTGCTTTTCAATATCCCAACTACTCCTGGGAGTAGGTTTAATCTTAATTAGGCTGACAATTAGCTTCTATCTGGTCAATGAAGTATAGTTTGATCTTTGTGAAAAGACACAAAGAGGTGAAAATTGATGAAAAAGGAAATGTAATAACAGGAATAAAAGGTTCAACCAGTTTGAATTGTCTTTACTTGATAGCCGGAAACTGACGTGAGTTACTGGTCCATTGTTTTGAGTTAATCAAGAAAATCGATTAATCTAGCAACTGTTGCAACAATGTCTATTGACTAACACAGAATTAGATTATAAAGATTAACTCAAATAGATTGGTGGATCGGAAATGAAATGTTGACACCTTTTTGCCACGAACAAATTCACCAATGAACTAATTTTTATATTTGGACCTATTTTATGCACTTTTTCTCCTTCCCCTCCTTTTTGGTCATCTTTTGCCATGAAAATCAGCCTGTATCTGGTTCCGATTATAATTCAGAGATCTCAATTGACTCCAATGATATTGGTAAAGTTTCCAAAGTAGATGATAGTAAAACTGAAGGATTCCGAGAAGAATCAAATCCAAAGAGTAACAACAATGATATGTTGGCTGGTAATGATTGTAAGTATAGTTTTATTATCTCAGAATGGAAGTCAAATGAGAAATTTATTGGATGTCTGTCGGATATTCACAAGCTTTTTTACTCATCTTTTCCTTCGATTTATCCAATGAACCACACTTATCTTAATGCTTCTACAAATCATCTTCAGTTACCATGGACGATGGCAAGGCAATTGAATCAACTGACTCAACAGGTCCATTAGATATGACCAAAATGTCTCGACGGTCATCTTCTGAATTATCATCAAACTGTTTGTACAGTACTGGCGATTCACGGGCCACCATAGTTTCCATTAATTCACAGATATCAGCTAAATCACGATCTCCTGCTCAAAGAGGGGCTCCAATTAAACGTAAAGCCACATCACCTAAAAGTCTATCTTCAAAAGATCTCACTAACCATGAATCCTGTCGTCCTGAGAAAATGGCTGCTCTCAATGGTATAGATGAGATTACTCCAACCAGTGAATACACCTTGAAGGAAGAGGAGGAAGAAGATGATGATGACGAAGAAGAAGTTGACAATAAGTCAAGTGATAAAATAGACGCCAATAATTTCGATCCAGAACGCTTAAAGGCTTTTAACGTAAGTTTCTCTCCTTTCTTTTGCTTCAACACTTGATCAGCTTTCTTTAATTAATTTGAGACAGAAAATATTAATATTCTCATAATAATCAGATAATTAATATGATAATAGAGATAATTACAAACTAAGTCTAGAGAATTTAGTTTCTATTATAGAGCTTCATCTGATACACTTACCCATAGACATTGAACCAAGTTGAAATTTTAAGGAGCCATATTTAAGGTGAAATAACAGTTCAACGATGAAAACAAACATATTTTATAAAAGTACAGTGATTAATTAAATTATTACGTTAAAAGCATTACAATCGCGGACAGGGTCAAGTTAACGAAATTCGAGATTTTTTGATAGTTGCAGTAAATGAGATCGATAGGTGGTTTAAATGCCCGCGCTTATCTAAAGACTCGGGTAGCAGTGCTTACCCGAGTTAAGATCCCTGGACTATCTAATCCTTTTTTCCTGATAAATTCTCAGCTAAGCTGGAATAGACCTAGCGCCTTTGAGTAGATAAAACACCTAGGAAGCAAGATGTGGACGGAGGTTTGAAAGCTGTCGCGACTGGCCGGTGTACACAAGCAAAAACTTAACCCATTCTTGTTTTTTAAAAAGTATCCCTTTATTTATCCCAACAAAAATTTTCAAACTGTAAATATAGATGGCGTCAGCTTCGAAACAACTGTTACTTTCTGAAATCTATTAATATCTCTGGCAATTTACTTTTTTAATTGTTTAATTTGTTTTCTCAATATTTCAATTAGTATTTATCAACTCTAAAATTAGAATTTAGATCCTTTTCAATCACTTAACTTTTGATTTCTTTTCAACTAAAGTCACATATTGATCTCTAATAACTATGGCTAAAAGTAACAGGTATAAAGTGTCAAATGAATTGATACTTTCAATAAAGCTTGAGCTCGCTCAGACTTATCGGATGTTCGAAGTTTCAAACGATTTAAGCGTCCATTTAATTAGCTAATACCTTATATTATTCTCTCAAATTGCAACTCTTTTTGTAACTTCAAGCAATTTTGAAATGTTTGATGTCTTTATAGCCGAAAATCTTTTACTTTTTGTACAAATCAACTATTTACATTTAAATTTATTTTCTCATAGATGTTTGTTAGACTTTTTGTGGATGAAAACTTGGACCGGATGGTTCCAATTTCCCGTCAACCTAAGGATAAAGTACAAGCAATCATTGAGAGTTGCATGAGACAATTTCCAGAGTTTTCTGATCGAGCTCGTAAACGAGTTAGAACATACCTAAAAAGTTGCCGTCGTACGCGTCGCCATAAAGTTACCCCTTCCACAACTACTCAGCAGTCATCTGATACACTAACCAACGGACACAAAGATAGTAGCTGTTCAACTAATAGTATTGAAATTTCCCTTAGTTCATCCTCTGGAACTTGTCTTTCTTCCTTGTCTTCAAACTCTTCAGTTTATCATTTAACTTCTCCCATTGCTGAGCAAATCCTTGCTTCAGCCTGTGCCAATGAAAGTTACAATGCGAAACGAATGAGAGCTGGTCTCAAACCATTGCCCGGTCGATCAATATCTCCTTCTGTCAGGGACTCTTCTAATTGTGATCATTTTAACAATTTCTCAGAGGTAAATATTGATTTTCATTAATTAGTATATTAAAAACTAATCAATTTCTTTGCCTTTTCAGTCTCAAACTATCAATGATAATTTAGGCTCCATCTTACCTTCAACTACTTCACCATCATCTGAATCAGCTGTTCAAGTTCTTAAACCAAGCGCCAGTTCTAGCCTTAATTCCACGCTTCTAGCTGCTCTAACTGGTCACTCCAAAGTTGATCATGGTAACTTAACTTTTTTTCATTTTCTTGTTTCCATTATGCGGAATCTAATAATCCAATTCTGTTTGAAGTAGAATTTAAAAATTGATAATTTCGCTACTGTTTTTGCCTCTTTCCTTATGTTGTATAACCTAATTTCGGATGCTGTGGCTTTATAATTATCAAATTGTAACAATCATTATTCACTCCATGACTAGTTTAGACATAAGATCCATTTCCATAAAACCCTTTTCTCATAATGATGTTAAATTTCTAACCCAAACACGTAGTTGGACATCTTATATCTTAGTTGTTAGACATTTGCTTTCACGATTAACATCTCTACTAAATCTTTTTTTCACAGTTTATCCATTGAGTTAATTTCAGAATCAAATTTAATATGATTATACATAAAAGGAGAGATAAAGGGCTACAAAGAACTTTATTTGATGAGTAAAGAGCTCTCAACCGATCTCAAATTCATCTCTTAACACTGTAACATTTTTGACTAGAAATATTTTCAATGATGGGACTTGCGTGACCTCCAAGTCCTATTTATGCCCAGAAAACCATTACTTTTACGTGAAATTTGACCTTTTCCTTCCCAGAAGTTTCCCAGTATTTTATATTATAGATGAGCTATGAGCCTGATAATTTATTGAGCTTAAAATAATGCTTTTCGAGGATCAGATTAAATAAGCTAGCTTCATATTTAATCTGAATTATTCTGGTTACTTTTCAAATTTTCCATCTTTTAATTCACAAGTAGCTTGTAAGATATCAGAGATTTCAAGAAAAATCCTTTTTTATTCACTTTCTTGTTCAGCTTATTCGTGGTTGTGATCTTGTAAACTTAAACTTACTCTTTTTCATAATCGATGAAATCTTTTCATTTTTGATATACATGTAATTATGATTTATCGATACATTATTTTGATCCGATCATTTTCTTTGTTTATAATTACAGTTGATTACAATCAATCAGAAGTTACAGAGCCTCTGATGTTATTGAATAAGAAAGACGATTCTCCCTTGAGATGTGATGAACTTGAAAATACTGGTCGACAAGTAAATCAATCATTCCCAACCATCAATGGAAATGGATCTCTTTCAACACCCTCATCTTTGGCACCATTATCAACATCCTCGCCATCTTTTCACTCTTCATCACCTGTCCCTAGACCCAATATTGCTAATGGAACCACCAATTGTATTAATTCTGGAGGGAATCAACATTCAAACTCACCCCAACAACAACAAGGATTAACATCAAATTATTTGCCTTACACTTATTCACTTAGTCCAGGGGAAACGGCTGCAATTAAAACACTCATTGCTGGCTATAGAGAATCGGCAGCATTTCTTCTTCGCTCTGCTAATGAATTGGAACACCTTTTAATTCAACAAATTTAAATTGATTCCATAAGAAATACGCATTCCATGATTAAATTCTTGTTACAAGAAAATCATTTCCAAATCAATTATAATGATATCTGTCAATTCAAAGTGACGAGTTGCTTAACACAATTTATCCGCAAATTAGCCAGCTGCTCATCAAAGATATCCTTTATTGTTGGAGTTAATCTAATTTATTTGCTTGATAATTTAAGCGTTATTGTTTCTTTACAATCTTCCATCATTCCAAGCTGTACAGTTTTCGTTCAAGACTCATTCAACTTTAAACACATACATCATCGTCATAAATTCAATTCGCCATCTGTAAATTCAAATCTTTGGAAATTTGATTCTTCATCAATTATCTCCAAACTACAGGCTAATAGAGTGCAATCAGCGTACAAACATACATCAACTTAACCTAAAAAAACCAACAAAGCATAGTCACAACTTTCTTAATTCCAGATACATATTCTTGTTCAAGTGCCGAAGCACCACGGAGCTTATGAAACAATAATCCAACTATAAACAACCATTTAATTTATCGTCGAAAAAGGGTCCAATTCGATATTATCAAGCCCATTTATAAATACTATTTGCCTTTCATTAAGCTTGCCAAGATGTTCGTGATAATGTCAGGGTAATCCAGTCAACCTGCCTACAAATAAACAAAAAAAAACAAAAAATCAAAGCCAACAATCCTAAAAGACGTATTAATATGGGAACAAAAATGAACAAAAGGTTTTATCACCTGCAACACATCACACTGAATGCCGGTTAACATCCAGTTAACCTGAAATTACCCTGAAAGCTTCCACAATTTACCACGTCAATAGAGTCAAACATGAAATGAAACTAAATTATCAAGTCAACAGTTTCCTTACCATCTCCATTTACTGAGTGTAAAAGGTTGGAATTTTTCAAATTCAGGATCGATTCCATGATAAAGCCATTGAAGCATAATTTTAACCAAACAAAGAAACCATGGACACCAAATGATATTCAAATGTTAAATGTTAAAAGTTAACATTGCCATTTTGATTAAACAATTGAAACGCAAGATGAATGAATAAAAATTTCATAATTGCTAACAATTGAATGGATATTTGAATATTCCTGTTGGTTTCTATTGATTAAATGGGATTGTCGTCATTGTATTCCTTGATTGTTCTCGTCTTTCCGTGGGTAAACTGATTCGTGTTTCCATTCACCAATGATACGTCAATCAGGCAATTAGCGTCTATGTCAAGTTGACGCAAATTGGATTCAATTACCATTCATCTCATCAAATTGACACAACACTGAAAACAAAACATATCTTCAAACTTTCCTAATCCAATTTGTTGTTCACTAAATTCACAAGCTTCGCAATATCATCTTAAACTTCCATATCTTCCATGAAATAGTCAACAAGACAATATATTTGAGTAACAAATCTCAATCAATCAAAAATCAAACTTGATACCGATTCAAACTATTGTACAACCAAACATCATTATCATTTCAATTACTTCAACCATCTAGTCTTCATCTAATCATTAAACAACCTTATTGTGATTAACGGCTAAAACAACTAAAAAGTTAAACTCCAACATTTCCCATTATTCTCGATGTCAACTTCATTTTACATTCCTACCAAAATTTATCAGCCAAATGTTCATTACTACGGTTAAATCGAGCTCATTTCAGTCAACTAAATTTGCATTTTGATCAATTCTCATGTGAATCTCAAAGGCAGCTTAAACACAATCAGAAACCAATAATGGTTGTCTTCAAAAACATTTATATTTATGTCGCTATCTTCAACTTACAAGTGTTTAATTGTGATTAACTTGGTATAAATGTTATCGTTTCATGTAAAAGGCAAAATTCGTATTTTGTACTTTATAATGAAAAATAAACAACTTACATGCTATCATTTTCAACTGATTATTAAACAATACATTAAATAAAGTGACAATTATGATCATTTAAATTTGAGATTTACATTTCGATTCAACATTTCTTTTGAATCAACTTAATTTCAATAGGCGTTAATTGTTTCAATAAATATGATCATTTGTTTTCACTAATTGGTTCTATTTAATTTACAATCTAAATGTTTGACTGAGTTTTTAAATAGCAGTAATAATTTAAAACATTGACACTTAAAAAAACATGAATCAACAAAGTTAATTAACGTTTGGTGATCAAATGGTTTGGGGCTTATTTAAGTTGTATTAAAGGGTGAAGATGATTATGCTATTATTAAACACAGGATGATGATTATAACGATGAAAATAAAATAAAAATGGACTAAGGATTGGTTATTAATATTAATTTACAAATTGAACCCTAATCAAACCAAGGCCTTAATGATCAGCAAATATTAAATTGATTGAAATTTACAATCTTACCTTTGATTATAACTCTTTTTGATGATTGACATTCTGATCTTTGTTTTCATTTGCTGTTTTTGTTTATGCTAATAACAATCACAATTAACCTTTATTCTGTTCTTGGTTGGCTTTCATAGCTTCAAAGACAGTTTCATATAAGCGAACATTGAGAACAATTTGATTTAGGGTTGAAACATTTAAGCTTGTCAGATAATCAATAATTGAATGACCCAAAGGTGATTTAACCTTATTTTTATCCATTTCATAGAGACTGACTCGAAGAGGAAAATCATCAACAGAAATTTCAATTGAATCACTTTCCTCATTGAATTTAACGAACGATCCTTTTCGAGATTTAATCAGAGGCGTTTCCATCAGTGGAGCTGGACTTTTCCCTGGATTGGGTAGGGTTCCGGGTTCACTTTCAGTTGATGTTGACCGACTTGTCCTTCCTGGTCCAGTTGAGCTAAGAGTTGATGATTGCCGGGAGAGCAAGAAGACATCTCTAACATCAGACAGTCGATAGACTCGAGCTAAAACTCCTAAAGGCAGATATCCACTTGATAGACCACGAGCACGGACAACTCTACGGAAAGTAGACTCTTTGGGTTCAATGGATCGTTTCAAATGTTCACATTTAACCAGAGTAACTTTAACCAAATTGGTCTCAGAATCGAGGGACATTGAGATGGTCAATTGAGGCTTCTTTTCATTTCCAGAGTTATTTACAGTAGAGACTGTAGCCACTGAATTTCCTGGTAGTTTGTGGTTCATTGAATTACGTTGATGGTGTCCTTTAACTGATGTTTCTCGCGACAATGGTTGTACTGGGAATGCACGGACAGTTCCTTTAGGTCCAACAGTCAATTCATGGGTCATTGAAATTTGACTTTTTCTTCTTCCTTCGGGAAATTCTTCCTCTGACGAGGAATCGCTTGTCAATGAGGCATAAGACGATGATCTAATAGGAAGGATAAAAAATCAATTAGTTTTTGCTATTATTCAATCAAACATTTCTTTGCCCAGTTCTTTGACTCTCTTCATAATACTCGATACTGGAAGGTTGAAATCTCATGATATAACGTAAATTAATGTAATAACATCTTCTGTTCTTCATTTGCGATAGTGAAGCTTTAATATCAAAATCTAATGTTAGGTCATCAACTATCATAATTGATAACTAGTAAATGGTAATAGTTTGACAGATTTCTAGAACTTAAACTTGGATAATACCAAATCAATCCCAATCAATAATAATCGTTTCTTTGCATTAAAATGTTTTCAAATCAACATTCTGTTCAGATCATTCATGCCTCAACTTGTTTGCTTGCTAAGTCAAGTTATTGAAATAGCTGGCTAAGTCAATTTTCACTTTACAAGTGTTTTCATTTTGCTGCTATTGTGTTGTTGTTTGTTTTCAGTTTTTGATCGACTGGATCAATCAATTATGACCATCGACAAACAATTCAAGTAGCATAAAATATTAATGATTGAGCATTCAGGAAAGAGATTCATCATGAAATCAGGATATAAATGAAAAACAAACTATATAAATCAACTATAACCTTTTATGAAACAATTTTCTGAAATATCATTTTGATAAAAGGAAAGGCAAAAAAGCCATTCTCTCAGTTACCAAACAACTTATTTTATTAATAGCTATTGAATTATTATTAATAGCCGTATGTTGATAGTTTTATGAGGGACAAGAGGAAGAGCAATCACTATTATCAAAATTATCATCAAATTATGTTTCTATTATACTGTTTTTTTGTAATAAAATTTTCATTCATTTGCCATTAACAAGCTTAAAAAGAACAATAAGAGTTGAATTGAAATTGAAAAATATTTCCAATCATTGAATTGTTGTTAATATCGGTAATGGTTTTAAATTGAAATGCGTAATAGTATCAATAACAGTATATCAATAGAATAGATTTTTTATGACTTTGCCAAATTGAATTCATTGTAAAATAATTGATCAGTTTTTGTCAGCTTATCTGGTTCTTATGGGTTATTCAAATGAAGCCTCGTCACCTTGAAACCCTCATGCGGGTTCAACTGAATCATTATTTCAAGATCAACATAAGAGACAAACGACTCTAATGATCAACAACCATTAATCACAATCAGAATAAGTTCATGAGAAAATTTGAAAATGAAAATATTCTTCTAAAGAAAATAGCTTTTCAGAAGCTGAGTAATAAAAGTATTGGAAACATTAATTTATATGAGCAACGATTGTTTGATAGCGTTTGCCAGTTTTGAATACAATACAAATGTAACCTTAGTTTTGCTGGCAACCTCCAAGTTCAGATTGGCTGAATCAGTCAATCATTAGGTTTTTAGTCATTTTCATTGGAAAATATAACCATGAAAAATGATTTGCTTATTTTAAATAAACTTGGAATTGTTTTGGATGAATAGAAGATAAAATATTGAAATTTACTTCGATAAGAATAGGTTTTAAAATGATTCTATGTTCATTGAACGTCAAGTGTAAATATTAGCTTTTCTGACCTGGAAAGGTTGGAAAAAAGCTGCACAGAAATTGAATTAGCTTCAACTAACAGAGTTAATTTGAACTCATTGATGATTGAATGAGCAAGATGGCTTTAGTGTACCATCTTGATCACAGATATCATCGATAATTGATTAATTATTGTAACTTAATTGCATTTACTCAGTTAGCTTTTAGAGACTAATGTTTCAAAGCAACTTTAACTATCTTTATAGAGTACTGATTCAATGGTGATACTTACAAACACACGCACATAACAATTTAAAGAATGGACAATGTAAGTATTAACAATTACGTACACCTTAATCCTTCTGGTAATTGGCACAAAATTTCCAATATTAACTGAAGATGAGTTTGGAGGAGTCAATTCATCAGAGTAACCCGATTCTTGGCCATTATAATTGGCTGATTTACTGGTTCCAATTCCTTCCAATGGATTAAGACTTGAACTTTTCCTTTGACGAGCCTTATAAACCAAAAGAATACTTATAACGGTTATGAACAGTCCGAATATAATAAGCATGGTCCAAGCAACTAGAATGCCTGTTTTTAATTGTTAGAAAAATAAAGTAAATTAAAAACTAAACAAACAAACAATCAAGTTAAATTGATAAAATGACAGTAAATCGGATTACCTGAAGTCATGAACAGTTGATCTGTTAAAGAGCTTGAAGTATCCATTGGATTCATACTTATTATAGCTGGTTTTTGAGCCGATGGAATGGATATTGAAGAATCCATTAGTCGTTGTCCATCCATCATGCACAACATACACTATTAATCTGAAACAATTCCTTTGATAATCATAATTGAATGTACCATAAGTGAAATAAAACAAAACAATCAAGTGAACACCGCAAGACAAAGACAAGCAGCTAAATCCAGATGACAAGGGTTGATACCAAACGTAAGTTACACAAGGCCAAGGTTTAGATGATTTGAGACGATAAACTTTATCACAATTTAATACTATTATTTGATAATTGCACAACAATTAGTTACATAACAATGATTCCAGAGTAAATAACAATCATTCAAGTTTCAATTGATTAATTATTCAATGATCAAGAATTAAGATAAAAAGTAAAAAGGGTTTAAAGATAAGCTAAAATTAACAAAACTAATCAAAATGTGTTACTAAGACTTGACGGTTGCTTTTGAAAACAAACTGTGTAACCAGTTTCGATGGTAACCATCTTCTGCTTCTTTTACCAGTTTCTTTTGCTCTTTTCGTCATTCCTAATATTATTATCATCATCATTATTATTATTACATTTATATTTATTCTGTTAGAAGTTAATGTCACATAATTAAATGATGATGATAATCAAGTTTGTTTGTCAGTTTATTCAGCTTCTCACGCAGTAACATACAAAAAAGTAAGTACATCTTATTCCTCCCCTTTAACCACCTCCACCCTTACCTTACCCTTACCCAGAACCATGTTCAACTCTCTTCCTCCTCCTACCAATGCCACCTTTTCCATCTTCCACCCTCTCTATCATTGTCAGTAAACAACCTTTGACTACAATCAAATTGACAATTTGTATTGTGTCACCTGTTTCATTAATTTACGTTCAGCGAAAGTGAACAGGTTAATTCATCAACACATATTGTACTTTGAAAGTTATTTACTTTCTAGTCTCATTTCAACGTCCGTCAATATCTTATATCTTTCAATCAATCTATCGCCAAATAATTGATTATTATACGTATTTGTGAACCTTTCTTTCATCAAATACAAATTAACCATTATTTAAAGATTCAATTGAACAATTTGCCCATTTATCAATACACAAATCTTATAATAATCAGTCATTCCCATATCCAATGTTATTTAATTTCAATGATCCATAATATTCATGGTGATTAACAATATGGTTAGTCGTGTGTGCAGAAGACCATAAACTGTAATCATTTAATATTCAATTCTTGGAAAAATCATTTTCACAATTGAAAAGACTCCAACATTTCACCTCAAAATATCTATTTTTACGCTGACAAATGTCAAAAGATTATCTGTAAATTGTATCGTTAATCAATCAAAATTGTACCATATTCAAAACTTGAAATCCATTATTATTTCATTGATTTGAAAAGATCATTATAACCCAAATTGAAAGTAACAAAAAACATCTAAATATGACTATTTAAACCCAATTTGCTAATATTAATGTACATTAATATCTTTCGTAACTCATTCGTTTCTTGACGTTGTTAGCAATGAACATATTGATCTGGATCAGATTATATTAGATTATGAAAATATCTAAATCTCATTATTATCTAATTGATTGGGAACAACGAAATGCTTTCCTGAAGATTGTTTTGTTTCATCTTAAACCATTTGTTGCCTCATTTTTGATACAAATTAACCACTGATTGTATGGATTAATTATTCAACAATAATACTCTTGATCATGTTCTTAGTCAAATTACTTGATTGTATCAAAATTGTAAATCGATTGTTAACCAGAAATAGATTAATGTTAAATATTAATAAGCATTACTTGACCCATTGATACAGTATTGCTAATAATCGGTTCAATATTGTACAATTTTGATTTACGATGTTAATCTGTTGTATTTCAATTTCTAGTCAACAAAATTTTTAACTCATCAACTATGGTTTTCAGTTTGCCCATTAATATTGATTCAAATCGATCAATGACTTGATTAACAATTCAACCATCAATTAAACAACTGCTTGGTGTTATTGATTGATTATTTTGATCAAACAAACAGAATCAACTGAATTAAATTATTGCTATTTATTGTGTGTTTTATCATTGTTATGCTTTCAATTAAATGTTAGAGGTTAAAAGTAATAATGATTTTGTGTTAGTTTCTCATACAATTGGCTTAAATTGAATTGATTTTATTTAGAAAACAAAAGTTAATTTAATTTAATTGTAAGATTTTAAGTCTCTTTGTTTTTCCATAGATGGCGTTAGAAGTTTGCTGAACGATAAAAATTGGAGGCTTTAAGGTAATAAATGTTTATAGCTTTAATCAAAAACAATCAACTAAATCTTTGAGTAAATTGTGTCTTTTAATTGTTTATAGATGTCTTGAACTCTTCTGGTGAAGTGACCCGCCATTTGGTTAATTGTCTTGGATTTGATTTGCAGATGATGTCTATCAAACTTTCATCTATGTCTCTTTGGATTACATTCAGACCTTGGTTCTTGTTTACAATCATAAAGTGTTTTTTGCTGGATTGATTGAGGAATTGGGTTTACTTTTTATTGACTATGGATTGAGTTATAAATCACATTTCCTTGTTATGGAGTCACTTACATTCACTAATCTCAGCCATTAACAGTTAGTCATGGGTCGACCTGTTATCAATGGCTCAGTGAAACCAATCAGACAAACCAATTATGTCTAATGACTAACCAATTAAAAAAAACTCGCACAGTTTTTTTTGGTAAAATGCTGTTGTTGGCCATATTTTAAAGCAATGATATCTTTTTCATCTCAAGTCTATCAATATCTCCAGTTTATATATAAAAAGGTATATTCATTCCGTTGGTTTGATACGATAAAGTGGGAAGATCGATGACTTTAAAGTACGTCAACTTGTTATAAATAATCAGCGTGATAATTGCTTGTCACCTTGTCTCTTCGTTACTCTTGGTGCTCTTTCCCAGGCATTGTCAGCAATCTGGACCTAAAGAGTTGATGATTGTGATATCTTTCCTTGAATGGAAACGTTAATTGGTGTATATTAGGGGAAAAGCTGGTATAATTGGTAACTTTATACCCCGCCACAATCAACACCATCATCTTCATCTTCACCACTATTGACAATTATCTAGCATGTTCCATGTATTTGAGTCCAAAGTATACCAAAAGTGACAGTATTGAGTTTTTCCTGTTAAAATTGTGAAGAGTCGCTCCTAACAATAATAATAATGATAATCTAATAATTCAACAACACGGTGGAAAATATAATAGGCAAAATCTTCAATCAACAATATCAATACTCTCTTCAACATGTCCACCCCGACTTTTCTACCCCTAAATTATCACCATTAACTGTGCACATTGTCAATGATGAGGAAAGGAAAAATGATGAGGAGATACAATCAAATGATGATGGAAGTAACTTTTTGCTGTTCGTGATTACTATCATTGATTGCCGTTAATTTATTGCTCTTTTTAACGCGGATCTATCCTTTTCCAGTCAATCGAGAAACATTGAACGACTGATATGACTCTCAATGTCTGTAACATGGCTGATAAGAGTATGGCATCAATGACTCTACAATTTCGTTGATTTCCCGCTCAATCGTCATTAATCTCGCATTCCAACCCAACAATTGGTTTATGGAGCTTCATATCCAATCAAAAGCTCAATATCATCAAGGAAAACTCGAAATTCTTTAATTGATTGGCAATCTTTTCAGCACATAACAATATGGTCAGTCATTGATTTGGCTTTTTAGGATTCTACAATGAAATTGATAATTGATTATTATCTTGGAATCCATGGTTAAAGGATTCTGACAAAGGTTTCTCTATCATATGATTATTAATCTATAAGTGAAAAACTTGAAACAATTGATATTTTCTTAGTGAATTCATTGAGTAATTTCCCGTTACCATGGCCACAACTTGACTGTTTTATTACTATCTAATGCAGAATCAACTGATCAACCAAATCAAATCCTTCATGCCTGTTAAAATCGGATCAATCAAGTTTCTCTGTTGATCCCTACAATTGCTGAATCAATAAATGTTATCAAATTTGGAAGTAAACGAAACTTATGTTGAATCAAGATTAAAATTTTTGTTAACAGTTGGTTATAACGACCGGACAAGATTTACAAGTTAAAGTCAACGATTGGTAATAACATGCAACATGCAAGCAATTCACGAGAAACGAAGAAAGTTCAAATGGACCGAAAATAAGTGAACTTGTAATCAAAACATTATCGTAACACTTATTGATGAATTATCCTATTTATCAAGACACTACAATGGATACAGATAATGTTAAAAGTTACTTTGATTGTAGATATTTATAACTTTCATTATTTATTCTTTTAATTGTTGACACCAAATAAGCTGATTTAACAGGTTCAATCAGCTATTTGTAATACAAATTGTATTTCTGTCAATTTGATCCAGAAACCATGTGATTACAAAACTGAAAATATTGGAAATTGAAAAGGACACCAAAATTGGGTTCTCAATGATTTACCCAACCAGAAAACCGAATATTATGAATCTGATAATGAAAGACACACAAGATGCTTATGATTAAACTGGTTATTTATATTAGGTAATTGAATTTTCTCAGGATTTTTTACCAGATTGCTTCTGATAACAACTATCATTGGAAAGAGGAAACAATCAAACGATCAGTTTTAAACAATTATTGAACTAAGCAAAACATTGAGCAAGCATATTTAACCTTCTTTGAAGGTTAAGTTTCGCATCTTTCACTAACCATTATCAATTGTAATCTTTAATCAAACCAAATTTTCCCAATATTAAATGTGGTAATGAAATAAATATATGGTTTAATCATCATCTTCACTAGTGATCAGTTTAGATTGCAAAATGTTCAATGATCAGAGAGAAAGAAGAAAAACTCAATTCAATTTAAACACAATTCTGGTATTTCTTTACCATATTCAACAATTTGTGGTTGATTTAATCAAATTACATTACTAGAATTTTTGTTATTGCAATTTAAGGTTGAAAAGACAATTGAAACTGTCAAGGAACAATAAAATGATAACAAAAACAATATTGGTAATAATAGTAATTATGTTGGTTTAGTGATGCGCTTTGTAGGCTTTGGATGACGATCTTTCTGGATACAAATGATTGTATCAAATTTGATTGTCAACTTGATTATCATTTACAACAAATTGAAAGATGAAATTAAATGATAATGATCACTATTCAGCCCAAAACATTGAAATTGCATGTTTTGGGACACAATTGATTCTAATCACCTGATCTAAGGCCCTTTAGTTATATAAGTATTGTTTACCCTTTTTTTATTTTGATCGTTGTTTGTTGAATCAACTCAAGGTAATCAAAACAAGATCAAATGACGAGTTAATCATCGCCAATTATTGATCAATATTCGGTCATAATAACCACAACAAATCAAGGTTAGTTGTGTAAAGATTCAACAATTTGTAAAATGTGACTTGATTTAAAACAAAACATTGATTTTACCTCTCATCGTCAATAAATTGATTCCAGTCTGATCAGTCTAATGATTAACCTTGACCCGAATCAATTGGTGATACTAATCTAACTCGGATAATTGTGCTTAAATTGTTAACGGTTAAGTTGTTAAATCGAAACAAGATGTTAACAGCAATCTTTCTTGGTTGCTTGTAAAAGCCCTGTTAAGTTGAATTCAAGTTAACTAACGGCTAATTTAACTATCGGATCATAACATCGGAAGAGCCTGTCTTTAATCACCAGTCTAGTGAATCATCTAATGAAATTGATAACTGAAATCAAGGTTGACAAACACTGATTTCAAGGCTATCAATTTTCTTGAGGTATTTCCTGAGATCTTCACTGATTGAATCATTGTAATTGTTTTGCTTAGCGTTTTGCTGAAATGAAACAACAATTAATTTACTCAATGAAAGTATCAATCAATAGATTAATGATAATGAAAGAGAAAACAATTTCACTATTACAATAATCTAGTGAACTGGTTTCAAGTATTTTTTAAACTGTTAACTTCATTCAGACTCAATCCTTCGCTGATTAACCTAAATTGCTTGTTTCAATTCAAAATCATTTGAGTTGAAATAAAAATGAAATCTCAACTTATATCCAGAAATACAGTAAGAAAATCTAATGATAACCTGAAAAACAACTTTTTATCGATAATGTTTAGTACAAGTACTAATTAAAGTAGGACATGGATGAAAGATTAATGTTCATTACTCTAATTAGGAGACTGATTGATTAAACATATTCATTTATGGTTAAACTGTCTAACACGTTAAATTGAGATTGACTGACGATTGAAGCTACAAAAATGAACCTTTTCAACTAGGAATTGCAAAATGTTGCAGTAATTTGATTGTTGCATGTTGAATGGTTTTTTTGAATGTTTAGATATAGTTGACTTGATTATTTAACTTTCCATAGGTAAATCACAGGTTCAAGTGGTACCATTAGATAAGGCCAGGAAACTTTTGAGTACTTCCACCGATTATAATAATGATGTTGATCAGATGATCCATAGGCCTCCTTAATTGTAACATTTGACTTGATTTTATTTAGTGGTTTCCCGTGGTTGGAAGGCTTTCAAATTTCCAAATTTTCAACCAACGAAGTGACAGGTTGGGCAACAATTGAAACTTTAGGCCTGTCTAAAATTAGCGCCCAAATCTTTTAGTGTAAATCATCCTCAATCCTAGTTAATGTGATTAAATGCTAACCAGGAATAATGATTGAAGCCAAGAAATCGCAGTCTGAAAGAGAGGAAAAAGAGAAACAAAATTAGTATCGAAAAGTGAATGAATGAAAAGCCAGACTTGTAAAAAATGAAATCAAATTTGTGTTAAATTAACTCATAGTCAAGTGTTATTTATTTTGGGAAACAGTGGGACTTGATTTGTATGAAGACAACACAACACTTGGAAAAAATGGATCAAGATGGAGATTAAATTGTTATAATAAATTAGCAATGATACTTTTAAATGGGGTTTTAGCTGAAAAGGTTATGATTAACTTGAAAAGTGTATACTTTTGCCAGGTTAATAATAACATGGATGTGAGTTACAAGTGAAAAACTATGATTAGTATCACAATTTTGTGGTTTGCTTTCTTTTAAATAGACCATTTGTTTGCTAAAATTAGTTAACGGTTACATTTAAATTGTGCTTAATTTAAGCTTTAATTTGCAACTATATTTAGATGCACAATTAGATTGTGAATCAATTGTGATTGCAAGGTAAAAATTGTAAATGAAATATAAATAGAGCCAAATATAATTAAATACTACTGAGGTGAACCTTGAAATTGTAAGACCTAACATGCATAATGATCCCAATACTGGGTATAATAATTACCTAGGATGATGATAATTATTATATTTGTATTTAATCGCATTTCTTACATTGTTCTGGTGGAATATATAAAACAAGGTAAGTTTGATCATGATTCTGATGATTGAATAAAGAGTCAACTCCCATTAATTGGTCATTAAATTGGTTGTAAATCACTTTGGTTTACTATTAATTTTACTTCCAAGGTTACAGGTTGATATACTAATCAGCTTTCACTGTTTCTTTATTCACTCAACATGTAATAATGGCAATAGCAAAGGTATCATAAGTCCATAATTGGATATATAAATTAATTGCAAGTTTACATTGAAATACATGAGATATCTGGTCAATCTGAAAGTGTTATTAATATTTATATGAACACATTTCAAAAATTATATCACGATAATTTAATATGTGTATAATATTTTAAATGGTAGCTTTTTTATGACAAAATTGCCTACTATTGGCTTGGTCGTTGAAATTTACAAGTCATGCTGTACAATCAACTTTCACTATTGCTAAATTTAGTTGAAATGGCTTTCTTTCAAACGATTAGTTGAAACAAAATTAAGTGATTGATTGACACAGACTAGGTTTCGTTAAACTGTAACAGCAAGATTTGCTTATAACACTTCATGCTTTCTTGTAATACTCAACATAGGGAATAGTGCCATTGGCAAAAAGCCTTGATGTATTGAAGGACATCATTTTTCATTCAATTCACATGTAATTTAGTTTGTCGTTTAACTATTAATAATTTAGTGTTACTATTACGAGTAATTAAGAGGTTACATTGTTCAAAGAAAGGCCTAAATGGCCATCACACGATTAAATAATGGACAATAATTAAAAGACAAACTTACCTCTTTGTTAATGACATATTCAAGTAAAGATGAAGGGGAAATAAACAAACAGTAAGGCGAAAACAAAAGCGACAATCTTGGCATTTCATAATATATCTGCAAGTTCAAATGATATTCATTAGATTATTAGGCGTACCGCAATATAAAGCGATAGAGTTTATTACTTAATATATTAAAAATCACAAATAAACAACAATTTAAACACGATATTTACAATTCAATGCGCAAACAAAATGCGAGGGAAAAAATATAATCTTATATAATTGACCGATAGATGGTGTTGGAGATAAATATGCATTTTGCTGGTTAAACCAATTTTTACCCAAATTATTTGGGTATTTGATTGACCAGTAAAAGGTTTAAATATGATTAGCCAATGACTGTCGATGGTTTAGTTTATTGCAATTTCATTCAGTTGGTAAGGACAGAAGCTCTAAATTTCCAGGGAAAGATTGAAGTCACCAGAAATTGATAAATTCTGGTTTTCAAGTGATTTCAAAATATCATATTTTACTAATTATCTCTTATTGATTTAGTATTAGCAGACAAATGCTAATAAAGATAATCATCTTACCCAATATCTACCCAATCATTAAACTGTGATGGTCAAAGTAAACATTAATCAGTGAGAATATAGTTGATAAGCAAAGCTTTAACATTATTCGACATGGGAAAAGGCAAACAATTTGGGAGGAATAGAGATTCCAGATTTGTTTGATGGATTATTAGATTGATAAACAATTAACTGGGAAAAAACTTGAATAAAACAATTGTTGTTTTATAATCACTGTTGTTAACTTTAAACACTAAATCCAAAGATTAGGTAGCAACAAGCCAGGCAAACAGGCTTAATCTGACTCAAATCCTTAATTATTCATTAGGAAGTATATTCAATTGCCGGAAATAATTTCAATAGGTTAAATGTTGAATTTTAATCATCTCAAGAAAAATTTCCTCGTTTATCATAATCATCTACATCAATATCCGTCTACAAAGACTCTTATTACATCAATATGTGTATCTTGAAATCACTGGAAATTTACCTTTTCAATCAGATGATGTCAAAACTTTGGATAAGAATGATCATCTTTAATGAACAACATATGATTTTCACCATCAATGGAATCACCAATTAGTCTAATAACAACCAGAAATGCATTTTAACCAAAATAATAACAACCAGCTGATCTTGAGCTCATCGCCATTCCTGTTGCATTGGATTTGTCGGTGGCTTGTTTTTTCACTTCCAAATATAATTTCCATTGATCCAAATATAAATGGCATTCAAGTGACTATTCAATTAATTGAATAGTAACTAAAAATCTTGAACAATTAAATCAGGAAAATAGGAACAAAACGGAAGATTTATAAACAAATGAATCTTAATTGCTACCAATACAGAGCTGTCAACCTTGGCCTTGGTAGTTTCATTCAAACTAAACCTTAACTTTCTCTCCCAAATTGGATGAATATTGATTAATAATAAATGGTTGATTCCAATAATTTAGGTTTCCTGAAGGTACAAAATTAACCAAACCAGATTGGTAAACCATAAATAAGGCTGCATGGTATAATAAAAGCCCTTCAACGTATAGCTTAATGGTCAGTCTGATTGCAGATGAAGTCCACCAGCTTGTAATTTTCAATTCTGACAAACAAGATATTTTCCTCTGATGCAGTCGAGTTGTAAATCTAGACAATAAATGATTTGAAAATTTAAATTGTCTCCCATTTAGATGTAAATATCATAAATGATGATATAATTAACAATCCTTTAGTATTTTTCCTTGCTTCCTCCTTTACTCCGTATGTTGAATGTCACTCTTTTTCATCAATCATTCCATTTTTTTCAGCTCAATTTCTGGTACTCATTTTATCGTTAGATATTCAACTGGAAATCATAATTAATCTGGAATCAGCTAATTAGATCAAAGGCAATCAGTTTGGCATTATGATCCGACAAACGAGCTACCAACCATCTTAAGCTATACAGCCAGACATGATCAATCAATTTGGCTTACTTGTATGTTTACATTATTAAAATCAATTAATATTGGAAATGGGTTGTTGCAAGAAGATATAAATCAAATCTAATTAAATTGTTGGCCTTTAATGTTCAATAAAAAACCAGAGAATTTCAAATTTTTCAATAGCAAGTTGCCTACTGTACTTTGATTACAAGTTTGAACAGAACTGTCAATAAAATATTTACAAAGATAAATTAATTAAACACCCCTTACGGCTATGGTATTCACCATACTGTGACTTCCGATTGACGTCTTCTTTATTTACATGTGAAGAGTATAATTTTTTAATAAACTACTATGAATATCGTCATATTTAAGGTTTATTTATTCACTCGATGTATTCATGGAATGTTGTTAACCAATAAAATGATAATAAGACAAGGATAAAAGGTAAAGTTTATATGTTCGACACTCATTTGATGGGGAAAATATCTCAACTTGACTGTGACAGCGTATGTTTTGTTTTTTTCATATTACAGATGCCAATTTATATCTATGGTAATCAATCTGGGCTCACAATTATCTTAGATAATGTTAAGATTAAACAACTTAGCTGGTTAAAACTAAAAAATGGAGTAGTGATTGTTTCTTACTATTGTGGGGTTGTTAATCGTTGTTGACAAATCTGGTTTTGATTTTGAATCGCTTTGAGCTCCTCCTGATTTGATTCCCCTGATTGTCGATCCTCACCACGAGATGCACTCCATCATCCAAACCATTCAAAGAGCAAGGTAAGATGATGAGAGAAAAAAAATGAGAGAGAGATAGAGTGAGAGAGAAAGCGACAGAGAGTGAGAAAGAGAAAAGCAGATAAAAAGTGTAAAGAAAGAGAAAACTGTATCCCACTTTAATGTTGAACAGTCATTTTAGTGTTGCGAGCAAAACCATTTAAAGCTCAATCGAGTTGATGAATTTAACTTCAGTCGTAACCTAACCATCAAGCTTAAAAGTAGTTAATAATTAACTGAGAAGTTAACTCTCTTTACTCTTTCCTTGACTTGCTTGAACATCTTTCATTGTTGACCTTTGTTAAATTGTTAAACCTTGTTAAAAACATTTTACTTATTGTTTCACTACTTTTACTCATCACTCTTCATATTTCTTCTTATTAAGATCAACAATCGAAATTGTTTTCCCTGCTAATTCACAGCATAATTTGTTTGAATATGTCTTCAATTGATTATGATGATTCCCTATCTTCGGCTGGTTACCGAATTGTACGACGTTTTGGAGCTGGTATCCCTGATGGTTGTTCAATACCTTTAAGTTTAAAGATCGAAGAAGAGAAACAAATTCAACAACAACAGCAACAACAAAGAAAACTGTCAGTTCACCAACAAATCCAAGAGGAAATTGTTCGTCGTTCCTATGGTTCTTGGTCTCGAAGATCAGTTATTGCTCCATGGGTTTACCAAGAAGCCAATCTATTTCAATCTGAGATCATTCAAAAGGCTCGACAAAAAGCGGAACATCATAGAAGTTTACTTTCAAAATTGCGTAAAAGTTTATTCCCAAAAAGGAAGCATCGAAAGACTGCTGCTAGTTTAACTTCAGATGGAAACTCTGAACATGAATCAATTGATAATGATCCTAATTCAGTGTCAAGTTCTTCCCTTGGTTTCTTCGTGGATCCATCAGTTCCTGATGAGCTCAAAGTTAACCCCGAGCTTCTTTTACTTAACCTTCCTGAACCTTCTGAAGAATCTGATCGTCAGTTATTAAATGAAATTAAAGAAGGTCTTCGGATATTTAGACGATCAGTCCGACGATCAACATCTTCTGCTAACTCGGCAGGATCAGAAGAGTATGAGGCTGATTACTTGGATGACAAAGAAGATGGACTTTCTCATCATAATAGCTTAGAAATGTCTCATTTGGACAAATCAATATCACCGACTGGCCTAAACGGGATAAACTTTTCACCTGATGGTGTTACTTTCATCTCATCAGGCTACATCCACAATTTTGATCACCATTTATACATTGATGATGATGATGGTGATGAATCTGAGAGAACACGTCTTTAAATCAAATCAACCCTCCGTAATTAGATTTCATTTTTGATAAAGGCGCCTTATTTCATCAATTAAATTTTCCTATTTTATATTGATTAAAAATGCTAGTTCATTTTGACATCAATTGTATATTTATGTTACCTCAAATCTCATGAATGTAATTTTTTGACCATATTCATCGAAAAAGAATTTATCTACAAAATAAATGATTGTATTGAAATGATTAATTTTCATAAAAATTTGTTTATATTCATGCAACTGAGTTGCCACTTTTCTGTTGAAACAAATAAAATTTGTATGATTGACTATTTAAAATTGACATCAATTTTGATATTTTGAGCCCGATCACCCATCAAGTCGATTATCAAAGATAGAATCAACTTTAAGAAACTGAAAACTGAGTCAGTTTATTGAACTTTGCTCTATCCAGATCGACTCAACTTTATTTGAGGATCGCGAGTAAGAATGATTAATTAAACCAACCCATCGTTAGAATTCAAGTTTTCTAATTTTCAAAGATTTTAGACACTAACGATTTTCCCTTAAGCTTTGACTTGAAAATCTCTCTTCCTAACTCTCTGTCGCTTCTCACTCACTTTTCCTTCTTTTGCTTTGGTCATGTGATTCCCACATGTTTGTCTTTAATGGGTTCTGTGTTTTGAATTTTATTTTTCATTGTTTAGATTCGAATTTCACACTCAACCGAAGATGAGTGTTTCTGTGAGTAAAGATTACATTTTTGAAGGGTCTAACTGCTTCCGAATTAGGATAATGCTTTCCATTCTTTCTGGAAAACCAATTATGATCGTCAAGATTCGGGTGCGAGAGGAAGAACCTGGTTTACTTGAATCTGAGGTGTCTTTTTTAAAACTGATCGTTAAATCAACCAATGGAAGTACGTTTATTATTGATGAGACTGGAACCCAAGTGACCTTCAAGCCTGGTCTTTTACATGGTGGTCATATTGAACACGATTGTGGACTGCAAAAATCAATTTCCTACTTTCTTCAGCCATTAATTATTCTTGCTCCCTTTTGTAAGGTACCAATTGAAGCTACTTTAACTGGGATAACCAATGATCAATTAGATGTTTCAATTGATGCACTACGTCAATCGACAATTCCACTTGTTTCAAAATTAATTTCAGTCTGGGGTAAGTGTTACTAGTTTTATTTTTTACATTTTTAGCTTAGAGCCTAACTTATCCTCAAACTTTATTCTTAATTTTACAGAAAAAACTGACATCGAATTGACTGTTGTTTCCAGAGGAATGCCTCCTAATGGCGGCGGAAAAGTGTTTTTCAAATGTCCAATAAGAAATACCATAAAACCAATCAATTTACTCAAACCTGGTAAAATTAAACGGATTCGCGGTTTAGCATTAGCTACCAGAGTAGCTCCAAATATTGCAAATCGGATGATTGACGCAGCCAAAGGATTGCTCTTAAAATTTATTCCAGATGTCTATATTCATTCTGACCATTTAAAGGGGAAAAATAGTGGCAATTCACCAGGATTCGGTCTATCGTTGGTAGCTGAGACAAATGAAGGAATACATTTTACTGGCGAGGCCTACTCTAACCCTTCTGGAAGTGATAAAGGACCATCTTTACCTGAAGATGTTGCTCAAGAAGCTGTATTTTGTCTTTTTGAAGAAATTTATCGAGGCGGCTGTGTAAGCTCGATCAATCAGAGTCTAGTTTGCTTGTATATGGCTTTAGGACAACCTGATGTTTCCAAAGTTGAATTTGGCCCATTATCACCATTTACAGTCCAACTTTTGAAACATATGAGACAAATTTTACAAATTGCATTTAAATTGGAAGTAAAAGATAAAAGCGAAGAAGATGAACGAGATGAAGATTTGAGGAAAGGCTCTGAAAAAATCATGGCAACTTGTGTTGGAATCGGTTTTTCCAATCTTAGCAAAACAATAATTTAACTTGTATTTATTCTCAATCATTGCATTAAATTATAATTTGTATAAAATGTATAATTATTTCATTTTAAGAAGTTGATAGTTAAAATTAATCAAATTCTGTTTTTTTGCGTTTTACCAATTTAACAATAAATTGAGTGAATCTTTTATTCGATTTCTATCTGTTGCCATCTCTTTAAGTCTATTGTTATTTAATACGTTCTGAAGGCAACGCAAAAGTGCTACTTTCACACCATATCCATCTTATCTTTTGTTTTGGTCATCAATATATAATTTTGATTTAGTTAAAACGAGCTACGGTCCTCTTTCAGTTGTTAATAAAGCTTTGGTCCATATAACACCCTATCATATATGGTGAAAAAGGTACTTAATTCAATTGAAGCCAATTGAAGACGGAAAGAGCAAGATCGTTATGAGAATGTCTATGCGGTCTTTGGTCCAGTTTTTGCTCGAAATTTCAGGTATTGTGCATTATTCACATGTTGGGCGTTTAAATGTTTAAGATAAAGTTTTGATTATAAATTGACTTGTATCTTGTCTTATTTTAAATGGTCTGATTCAAACAATTGATTTAGGTAACGGCTTTCGTACTAAGGAATACGTTAATAATGAATCATTAAATTGAATAAATTAACATCTTTGATTAAGCTTAATAATTTCTCTGCAAAAATACAGTTTATGTCTATTCCGAGTATTTCTTCGTGACACCTTAACACAGATTTTCTTGATAAAATGTAACTCAGATAATTAAAGGAAGAGATTTAGGAATCAGTGCATCCTTTGATGATGTAATCATATGGTAAAGCAAGTAAAGAGTAAGATTAATTGTCGTGTGGGTCTAGAAAGGATTAATATTGAAAGAGTTGATTTTTTTTCTTTTCTGAGATTATATCGTAGTAAAATGATTCACTGAATCAAAAAATTACAGAAATATGTTTAATTTAATCAACATTAAAACATTTCTTCCTAGACTTCGGCAATTCTCCGCAATTTTTGGCTAATAAACATAATTTAGGGCCAAGGAATGAACTGGAAACAATCCGATCCGATATTGAGGTACCTTTGAAATGATGTATGCATTATGGTCAGCTTGATGACCAGAGTGACCAGAGTTACCAAGAATTTGAGAATCATCGAGCTCATTTCGAACTTAGAAGTTGGTCCACACTGCAAACGCTTTTGGTTCCAACAAGTTCATCGTTCAAGTTTCTTACGTTGACTTTTTGCTCTACTCGACACTCGACTACATCAGACGAATTAACCTTCCTTGCTGAAACCACACGCAAACCTGAAAAGCTATCTGGACAGAGTTGAAGCATTATCTGAAAATGATTAATATTTTAAAAGCGAAGATTATAGTCGATTCCCAATTACAGATACAATGGCCAAATAGGTTAATATCAGAATATCAGGTTTCAGATCAGAAGTTTCTTACGGTCATAGAAAGCGGTCGGTTTAACTGAAAATCGAACTGATCTGTTGTACAGAAACAGAGAATTTCATTTATCAAAATATAATAAGGGCCTTTTTGGTAGGTAATCGTAAGTTAGGAGTGGTCCCTAAAAAATTGGACAAATTTTGAAACGAATTCCAACCATGTTAAGTTTCTTGGAATGAAGGATTCTATAGCTCAAATTGACAAGAATTTCATGAACTTTTCAGAAATGTAATTTTTGTGAATCAAAATATTCAATTTAATAGAAAAATGCCTTTAATTGAATGATAAGTGAAATTTATTAGTTCAGTTTTGTAAAATCCCTATGAAGTTAGCGATGATTCCAACGACAATTATTAAATACTTTGAAAGTTATAAGCAGTCGAAGTGCGTCCAATTTTTTAGGGACCACTCCTTACTTCAATAAAAGGTGTTTCTTGAAAAATTCTGGTTTTAATTGCCCAAAAGTGATCGAAGTTTTAACTTTGGACTCGATTTTTCGAAAACAGTCGAAAGGAGAAATCTTTCAATAGCAATTATGGACTAAGTTTGATGCCCCTACAAAAGCAAAAATTTAAACTGTTGACTTGAAATTCAAAGTTTTTGTCTATAGTCCTTTTGGTCAAAGTCTAGGGTGACAGTAATAGATCTATTTACTTGATCGTATCAAAATTGAACATCGATTGATGATCAGAAATAGATTAATATGAAATACCCGAGTTAAAAAAGTGAGAAAACATAACTTGTGCGTTTAAATGAAAGGAACATGTTCATTATTTTCAATTTCTTGACAATAATCAAGTTATTAATATTTTAATATGATCTTTATGCAATCATATTCTGAAAAAAGACAAATTTTCAAGTCAATTTCATATTGAATTTATTGTATGAAAACAATTTAATCATGGAAGTAGTCATATAAAGTCCTCTTCGAGGACGACTTGGTTTTTCCAAGACAATTTAGTTTTTCTGGGACTGTCCGCTTCTAGGCCAATGATACCGTCTTACGGTATCGATTTTTCCCGAATAAAATGAAAACTTTTTTTAATGAAAATAAACTTTTTAATTGAATGAAAAAATGGAAAAATGAAAATGAATACAAAATTAGAGCTCTCGACTAGAGTCCCGAGCTCGAGCTCTCGAACTCTTCGTTCGACCCAGGCGAGGTATTGCTCCTGGAATTCCTCTCGAGGGAACCCAAAAGCTCGTTGGCACCTATGGTCAATGTATGTTATGAAATGGTTTTTTCAGCCAGTTCATTGAGGACCTCCGTAACTTCAGCTCTCAGCTCCTAGTTGCGGGTCTGTAGGCGCTGGTTTTGCGCCAACAGGCACTCGATTCGCGCCTCCTGGTCCTCAAACGACCTGATTGTTACTGCCTTATATAGTTTTCACCGATACATCGGAGTATTCCCTGAACGGACAACTTTTTAGCTGTGCTAGAGTGGGCTAATTTAGGTATACCGTATGATGCTATTGAGAAAGCCACACTGTGTGATGGCATCCAGACACTATAACATTGAAAAAATCAATACCGTAAGACGGTATTCCCCTTTGGTTCAGAAGCGGACAGTTCGCTTGTCGCAGAAGCGGACTGTCCCAGAAAAACCAACTTTTCCTGAAAAAACCAAGTCGTCCTCGAAGAAGACTTTATATTACTACTCATGGAGCTAATAAATTGCACATTATTATAGCATAATTATAATGGTCATTTTCAATTTATTAGCTCTCTGGCCTCTCATGTGAGAATGAAAAATCATACAATTTAATTAATAAATGCTTAGCATCTTTTAATCGTGTTCATGCATTGCTATCAATTCAGAAGCCCATATTATATTTTCATCAACGCTATCTTTAAAAACCTTAGCCATTTGGTTACGCTATGTTAGTGAATATACTATGAGATTCGTATGTTGCATATTTTTCGTAAACAACATACAAATATTCGATGTTTTCAGAATGAGAGATTGTAAATCAATCAGCTCCTGACTGCTCTGTTTCTGATTGATCAAAAGCCGCATTTTGATACTGAATATAGCAATTATATGAAAATAATCACTATCAAATCTCCTGAACAAAAGTAAGAGATGAAGGACACAAAATCTCAATTCATGAGCTTTTCAATGAACCAACTGGGAAAGAGGCCGAACTTTTCTCGTGAATTCGTGTGGTATTTCTGAGATCTTGACATGGACATTGAATGAACTTAAAAATTCTGCCTCACGAAATGGTCTCTGATTTAACATTGATTTATTAATTCCCTCTAAACATGCATGCATATAATCAATCGGGCTTTGAAAAGGCAGTTTAATGAAATGCCTCAATATAGTACTGCCAATAATTCCATTGACAGGCCGTCCTTCTTTTGAAGCAACAAGGGCAGAATCAAGATGTAATTTGATGTGTTTTAAACAGTAAATCTGCGTTATAAAGATACACTCGATAATTGCGGTCACGCTGATCCACATGTGGTGTGATTCACATCTAGTCAAACAGTAAGGACACCCAAACTGAAAAGCTTACAGTTTAACGTTTTTGGCTTTGCTACTGAGTCCATGATCACAAGTCCAATTTTAACCATAACTTTGTAATCCTTAGCATCAATTGAAATACTAAAAGAACTTTCCATATACTTTTCAAGTGGTTGAATCACTGCTTCAGACCAAAAAATATCATGTTTTATCCTTTCCTTTCCCCAATAAATACGTGCATTCATTATATTATCTTTAGAGCATTTTCTTCTCAGGGGCAGCTCAGCAATTGTGTATGAAATTATAACTGATTACGAAATTATGAATTTCACTGATGACTTCACGTAATAACCCTTGATCTGACCATTTTCCGCAATAATATCCAACGAAAGATGCCAAAAAATTCTATCTGACAAATATGCGGGCTCAAGTGCGGTGAATTTTTCAAATTGTAACAACTTTCTGGATGTAGGAAAATCCATTCACTTTCATTGGCTGTATGATTCAACAGAATATCGGTAATTGATAGAATTGACCATTTTTTTCTCATGATTTCCAACAGCTTGATCCACATCGTCAAAACTAAATTCAGGGCTGATGCGATCATGGCTGAACTTTGGATCCAAGACGTGTTGGTCCTTGATGCAGTAGCATGATTGTGACCCTCCCAGAGCTTGAATTGGTGGGAAATGAATCATGTTATAACCACATTTGCGCGCCACTACAAGCCTTTCTGCCCAGGTCTCAAGAGTTCCAAGAAGTTTGCTGAGATACGTTTGGCAGACGATCGAATCGAGATCCACTATCTGCTCTTCGTCAGCGCCCACTACAAGACGAGATTGCGCCAACATATAGCCAGAACAATCGATGCGAGCTTTATCATCGTGATCAGGGGCCAAGTAGTACTAGAAAGTTCCTGTCAACGTTAATTTCAAATACAAACACGTGTCTTTTTCTGCCCATCTGTGATGACGGAATTTTCCTGGTACGAACTTTTCTTCAGGTTCTTCAGGATACTCTGAGTAAATCTTATTCGAACACCTAATAAACTTGGCTCCAGGGAAACTTTAATCACTTAAGCCACTTAAATTATTTGAGTGACAAAGTATTTTGAATTTTTATCATATATTAGACAACGTTCTATCCAAAAAA